GGCGACCCCTGTGAAAGGGTCGTTCGACCGCCAAAGGGGTCGCGACCCACAGATTGAAAACCGCTGGGTTAAGGTGTCAGGTAGAGTCAGGGAAACACTGCTGCCTGCCCCTCGTCCCCCGTCGAGATGCTCATAGGCCTTTGCCCACCTGGATGACAGAATTAATGGCCTGTAATCTAGTCACATGACTTAAACAAAATTAAAATTAAAAAAAATTCAGGCTTTGCCTGGTGAAGCTCCGTTGGTTAAGTGTTGTCCGTGTACCAAAGGGTTGCAGGTCTGATTCCCGGTCAGGGCACATACCCTGGTTGCAAGTTCGATCCCCAGTTGGGGCATATGTGGGAGGCAGTGAATCAATGTTTCCCCCCTCCTACCCCCCCTCCCTCTAAGCATGTTCCTGGATAAGGATTTTTAAAAAATCTTTATTGTTGGGGTAAGGATTTAAAAAGAAAATTCCGGTGCTCAGTAGAGAGTGACTGGTGACCGCTGTTTTTGACAGCAGGGATGGGGAATGTTTCTGTTGTCACAGAAAGTCCTAGTCAGCAGTGTTGCTTCATTCAAGGCAGGCTCTTGAAAAGCAGTTTCAGGTGTTAATGAGACTTGAAACTCAAGAGCAGACCTGAAATGGGTTTAAAACTGGCTTCTAAATAGTGTTCTTGCGCCCCCGCCCACTCCCCAGGACGAACGCTGACTGATGAAATAATTGTAACCAAACACAGCATCACATGGACAGCTCTTTGGGGTGGGTGGATAGTTCAGTGCTTTCACTGAAGTATGGATTGCTGAACATTTTAACTGAAGTGTAAATTCCTGGTTGGGGTTGGGGGAGTGGCGGGAGGAGGTGGTGGTGAAGGATTTGGCGAAAGGGATGGGACTCCTGCCTCATAGAAACAAGAGGGACTGGAACTGAGACCCTGGGAGGAAGCACTTCCCTTGGATTTAGTAGGAAGTGGGCCTTTGCGATGTTAACCTATCCTTGCCTCTGAGTCCCTTCTCCTTCAGAGGAACATGCTCCAGGACCAAGGGCTGAGGTGAGGGTCTCAGCATTCACCTGTTCTCTGACCCTCCACAGAAGGGCCTGGTGCAGGCGAAGGATGATGTTTTCTGCGAGATGTGTGAATACGTGGTGAAGGAGGTGGTCAAGATGATCGACAGCAACAAGACTGAGGTACGTGGGTTTCCGGAATGCTGCCCTCCTGGCAGCGGGAGGCGCTCTCCTGGGTTCCTGGAGCTGGGATGGCCCAGTGGGAGAACCCAGCAGAATAGGTGGGCTTGGTCCTTGCTGGTCTGGGCACCAGCCTGGGAATCTGTCACCACCTCCCACCGTGGATCCCTCTGGGCTGCGGCTGGAGGAGGCCCCTTTGCCCTGCTTGTAGCTCTTGTCTTTTGCAGGAGGAAACGGCATCTTGCTGTTGACTGGTTTCCTAGTCATGTTAGTATTTTCAGAATCTCTCCCACCCCTACCCAGCCTCCCATCTTCCCACGTGATCCTCTTGTGTTTCAGGAAGAAATAATTCACGCTTTCGATAAAGTGTGCTCAAAACTGCCCAAATCCTTGTCGGAAGAGTGCCAAGAGGTGGTGGACACTTACGGCCGCTCCATCCTGTCGATCCTCCTGCAGGAGGCAAGCCCTGAGCTGGTGTGCAGCATGCTCCAGCTCTGCACCAAGCAGAGGCTGCCTGCACTGACCGGTGAGCCCAGTGGGAGTGAGGCTGGCCGTCCCCTTGGGGGTTTGGGGGGGCCCTGCCGGCCCTGAGCCTGTGTTCTCTCGCATAGCACACGTGACTCAGCAGAATGACGGTGCCTTCTGTGAGGTGTGCAAAAAGCTGGTTGGCTATTTGGACAACAACCTGGAGAAAAACAGCACAAAGGAGGAGATCCTGGCTGCTCTTGAGAAAGGCTGCAGCTTCCTGCCCGACCCATACAAGAACCAGGTATGCCCTGGCTGCTCTGCTCAAGTCCGACCTGCCTGGGCCATGCAGAGGCTGGGCTGTTCCCTGACTGTGCCCTTGACTGAAGTTTTGAAGCCATTTCTGCCTGGATGCACGGAGCCCAGTGACCTTTCCTCAGAGGCAATCTGTTGGCTCAAATGGAGCCACTGGGGGAAAATAACACAAGCAAATGAGGCCGAGTGTGGGTGGGGCTCTGGGGAGGAGGCCCTGGGGCCACTGGGCTGGAAATCTTGGGGAAGAGCATGTCCAGCTCCAACTCGTCTGGGCACACCTTGACCTGGACCCGTGTCCCTGCTTGCTTCTCAGTGTGATCAGTTTGTGACCGAGTACGAGCCCATGCTGATAGAGATCCTGGTGGAGGTGATGGAGCCGTCCTACGTGTGCTCGGTGAGCTCTGAGCGCGGGTTCGTGGGCACGCAACCTGGGTGTTGTGTGGACCCTGGAAGGGCTCCTCGGAGGGTGTGGGCCATGGGCCAGAGGCTCTGGGATGGGGCGTGAGAAAGCCAAGTAGAGAGCCAGGCTCTAGGCCCACCACTTGGGAACCCTGATGTTTTTTGAAAGTGCCCATCGGAGCTCTGGTTCTCGCTGCTTCTAGAAGCTGATGGTTTCAGGTCTATAAAGGATTCGTTAGATCTAATTCTTCCCCTTCTGTGCTCCCTTTTCATCATATAGAAAGTTGGAGCCTGCCCCAAAGCCCCTAAGCCTCTCTTGGGAACAGAGAAGTGTGTGTGGGGCCCGAGCTACTGGTGCCAGAACACGGAGACAGCGGCCTTGTGCAACGTGAGTAGCTCAGCACCTGCTCCACAGGCCTGCCTTGCCCGGCGGCAGCTTCCCTGAGAATCCTGCTTTAACGGCCTCGGGCCATTCTCTACCCTGTCTTTATGTTAGTGAGGAACCTGAGGCCAAGGGAGGCAATTAGGCTTACTCCCGGCTTCCCAGTCAAGGCAGGGCTGGCTGTGTTCTTGTCTCAGAGTGAAGGGGTGGCTGTTCTTTAATACTGATTTTGTTTCGTCCTCTTGCTTTCGCCTCCAGTTCCCATGAAAGGGTCAGGTTCTCCCCCCCGCCCCAGGGATTGCACAAGGCCTATTGGGTTCATTGCCCCAACCCTTGCATAAGTTCTCATGTCCCTCGGGGGTCACTTTTGCCCTGGTTGGAGCCTGGCCTGAATCTTCACCCAAGGCCAAGCAGAGCTGTTCAGAAAGGCCCTGAGAGTTGGCACCTGCCTGACAGCTGCAGGGTGCTGTGGCACCATCCTGGCTGGGTAGCCACCAGTTGGGTGACCTACGCTCGCTGTTTTCCTGGGTGGGGACGTTTGGACCAGCCTCTGTTACTTAATGTTCTTTTGTGCAACTTTTCTTCCTCGTGAGAGTTCCTCCAGTTGGGGGAGGTTGCATCATTTGGGGCCACTGCAAGGAGGGGTGGTGAGGCCCATCGTGGTGGAACAGGTTTCCGCTGCTGTCCTGGGCCCATTTCTCAAGGCCTGAGCTGGTGTGAATCTGACTCTCAGGGGAGGAGTTCTGCCTTGGGGGCCTCCAGTGCAGCCTGTCAGCTGATGCTGGGGCCTAGGTGTGTGGCTGGACGCAGGGGTCCTGGGCCCTACCTGCATGGGTGCTCATGAGCAAGCACGTGCTCCCCGGGTTTTAAGTGAGCTGCTGTCCTGGGCCCTCCGTGTCTGGTGCCATCCACCTGACCTAGGACAAGATGAACAGGCTCCATTTTGGGGGGATGTCTGATGCATGAATGGGCCAGGAGTGGAGTTGTCATCTGATTAACCCAGTGTCCTCTCTCCTGTCAGGCCGTCGAGCATTGCAAACGTCACGTGTGGAACTAGAAAGACTTCCATCTTGGAGAAACCACAGCATCTGTTCCTACTTGTATGTCTGGGGAATGAACACAGATCTTTCGACTTTGTTATAGAAATAGGCCCCCCTTTCCCTCACGCTGTTTCTTATCTCCCTTACTGTAACATTGCTGTCAACGCGGGAGGTGCCTAGCCTGCTGCTGACATAGTGCTTCAGTGTCCTTTTCATTCCGCCACATGGATAATGACGCCCTGCACCCTGGAGGCCGTTGAGCCTGCCCTTGCATGTGGTTACCTGGAGGAGGAAGGGGGCTCGCTGCTGGCAGCAGCCAGAGCTTCTTCACAGAAGGCCGTCCGTCCTCTTGGGCGGGGCTTTGCTGAGCCCTGACCGGGGCTTGGGCGCTGGTGGGCTGGCTTCTGGAGCCTCTGCCTACACTGAGGAGGACACCTCCCCGGGCTCCTGGGTTGCTAGACAAAAAAGTGAAACGAAGGCTGCTTCATATAAAAGATTAGAGGCTCAAAGTGATTAGGCTTTGTACTCGGTGTGGTTTGCACTGAGATAGAGGTTTTGGAAGCGGCTGCTCAGGACACCTGGGTGAGGTTTGGGTTTGCTGACCCTGGGTCAGCCTTTGCTCCAGCTTTCCCGTGTCTTTCCTGGTGATGTCTTGCTTGGTCCTGTGGGTTTGGGTGGGAGGGGAAAATCTGCTTGAATGCAACCTGCATAGCTCAGTGTGGGGATCCTCTGCCCCTGGCTTTTGTGAGTGAACACGTGGACCGTGGTGACCACCTCATGCCTGCTCTGTGCCTCTGGGCATCACAGCCCCTTTGACCCGTTGTGTGGATATTGCTTTTGACCTTGAAATAAGTGGGTGACAAGCACCTAAGCCTCTGGCTTCCAGGCAGCGGGCCTGTGGGGCGTGCTGTTCAGGACCTTGGCTGCTGCCCTGCCTCCTCCCCCGTGGCTGACTCTTCTGCACTTCCGGTTGTCAGGGGACAGTAAGACCTGCAGTTGCCATTAAACGGACTTAATGATTTTTTTGTTTTGCACTAAAGTTTCTGTGATTTAACAATAAAGTCTGTCAATCAGATCTGATATTCTGTGATACCTCAGCCGGAAGTTGGGTTTCTGATTAGCTCTCGGCCGTGGACCCGTAAGTGCTCAGCAGTCCCGTGGCACCTCTTGGTCAGAGAAAGGAAGCACAGTGGGTCAAGTCCCACCTGTCTGCCCTGAGATACCTTCACCCCCCTCCCCCGGCCACGCCGTCGTTCACCAGAGCGAGTGCCAGTTCCTGTGAGTTGCTTTTCTTTTTAAAATTCAGACCATTCCAGAAACGTTCAGTGAGTACCAGTGAAACAAACCAAGGGGAACATATTGAGGGAATAACTTAATTTAAAAAGGAATACACACGAACACTCTACATTCAAAACCAAGGGAACATCAGTCATTTCTCCTTTTGAGCCGGTACATTTGGGAAGCCAGTGACATGGAGAGAAACGTGGTTCGTGGATAATAACCTTGTCCAGGTGGGGAGGCAGGGGTCACTCTGCCCCACCTGGGTGTCCAGTCGGACATGGCAGAAACGCGGTGAGACTTCAACGGAAGTCTGAGTCAAGGCCAGGCTGGGAGGGGTGGAGAGGGGAAGGGGGTCTGCTTGGCCTCTTTCAGTTCAGCCCGGGCTGAGTTGGTGCTTACTCCTGTCCCCCAGGGATGCTCCTTACCTTGTCCTTAGACACTTAACATTCTTGTTTGGTTTTCTTAAAAAAATAACAGATTTTATGAAGGTAGAGATCAGATGCTGAATGAGTGCTGGCAGCAGTGGAATCTGAGCTGCAGAGAGCAGGCTGCCGCCACTTGACCAAGCCACGGTCGTGAGCCAGGGTCGGCCTGGAGGGGTCCGCACCCCACGGTCCTGGCGCTGCTCACACCAGTGAGGCTCCCCCATCTAGTCATAGCTCCGTGATCTCCAGGGGGCTCTCCATGATCACATCTCGAAGCTTGTGCAGGGGCGTGGATTTGGCGGACTCCGTGCGGGCGTTGCGCTCGAAGGCACTGGCCTCGGCCGCCGTCAGCGTCTCCAGTGAGCGGCCCAGACCCTTCTGGTCGTCCTCGGGCAGGCTGTTGAGGTCAGTGGCCAGGAGTGTGCCCGTGCTGCCATGCACCATGTGGATCCCGTCGGGCCCCTTGAGCTCCGGAGGCGGCTTGCAGAAGCGCAGGCTGCCCTGGCCCGGGCTGCGCTCCCCTGGCTCCTCCAGCTCTGTCTGGATCAACTGCAAGAGTCCAGGAGCCCCCACATGCTCAGGGCTGTGCCCAGGGGGTGAGCAGGCGGGGGGGCCCCAGCGTCCTACCTGCTATGCGCCTGCTTCCTCCCCATTGCGCACAGGGACCCTGGGCTGGCGCTGCAGCGGCCTGTGCGGCCGCTAACAGCCTGTCTCCAGCTGGTACGAGGGGAACCATGGAACTTACGGTGCTGTGCTCTCGGGAGCATGGGCTTCCTGTGAGTTGAATTTTGTGTATTCACTTTTATCTGCAAAGTTGCTGTGATGCAACTGCAGTTTCTGGGTTTGTTACCAAGTTGGCCTCAAGCAAGTTCAACACTAGTGGCCAGGTCGAAGTGCCCACGAGTGAAGCTGGAGGGGACCAAGGTGTACTGGGCACCCAGATGGAGCTTTTGTTCCGTGTGGAACTCGGCTTTGGCCCATTTCACTTGGAATGTTGGCCCAGCTGGTGATCTGGGTCTTCACCTGACTTTCCAAGTGTTGACACGCCACTGCAGGCAGGCAGACTTGAGACCCTATTTGAACCTACAGCCAGTTTCTTTAAATCACCCCTTACAAGTATCTTTTTGGGGTTCCTCAAATCTGGGAAACACTTCCTTGTGCCTACCCCATCCCTGGAAAGCCCACTGCAGAACCCAGAAAGCGGAGCCCACTGTCACTTCCTGTACCCCACCCACTGCTCTCTGGTCCTGGCTGCTGAGCTCCAGAGAAGGAGAAGGATGAGAGCAGCAGGAGAGCCAGAGAGAGGAAGAGAGAGAGAGCACCCCCAGGGCTGGGGCACGGCACACAGCTCCCTGCCCTCCCCGCTACCTCGGAGATGGAGGAGTGGCAGGAGGAGGCTTTTTGCACCATCCGCTGTGCAAAGAGCTTTTTGAGCCGCAGGTAATCCTCCAGGACCACCTTCAGCAGCGAGCCCTGGGGGAGGGAGAAGGTTAACCCCCCACCACGGCCCCCCAGCCTCCCCACCCCTCGCTCTGGGTGATGGAAGGTGACAGGGCGTCTAGAGACACAGGCCTCTAACCCTAGTGTAGAGGATCAGGAGCAGAGCCTGACAGCTCGGGATGGCACCCTGGTCCTAAGGGCACCACGGGCTGGAGCAGCTCCTGATCGGCCCCAGTGCCCAGGACCCTCTTGTTGCCCTGGTGTTCTGGCCCCAGTGGAGGCCGGGTCTAGCTGAGCCTGGCGGTGGAGAAGGCTGTTCCCCGCTCCCTGCATCCCCTGGAGCAGGTCCAAGCTTAGCTAAGGCTCCGGGGCAGAGGTGCAGGAGTCTGTAGGGAGCGCTCACCTTGATGGGCCCCTCCCGGATGATCTGGCCCAGCTTGGCAATGTTGTCGTACTCCTGGAGGGCTGCCCGCAAGTAGCGGTCTTCGTCAGGTTTCACTGCTGCTGGCTCACGTCCAAAAGTTCCCTGGGAGAGAGGATGTTAGTGGACAGAGGTAGACAGCAAGCAGGCACACACCCACATACAGGGCAGAGGACCACCTAGAACAGCGCTCGCCAACCTTTCGGACCTCATGGACCGTCAGTGGACCACGGACCACCGGTTGGCGACTGCTGTCCTAGAAAACCCCGCTCCTCAGCCAGGGCTGACACCCTTCCCCTTCCTCTCCCCTGCCCCTGGCCCTGGCCCAGGCTCACGTGGGTGCGGGTGGGGCTGCTCCACAGGTCTGCGATCTCGCTCAGGTTCTCCGGCAGGTCGTCCTCGTGCTCAGCCTGGGCGGCCAGTTCCAGGTTCCGGCAGAAAGGATCCAGCCATACTGGGTTGGCCCTGCAGGTGGGGGCGGGGTGGGGTGAGGATGGAAGGCTTGAGAGGACAGAGGCCCTGCCCGCCTCACCCTCACCCCTTCCTGTTTCCCTGGCCAACTGTAGTGTCTCACAGAGCAGGGGAGGGGGTGCAGGTCCCTTGCCCACAGCACCTACGGTGCATCCTCCCCCTAGGATCCCACTAGAACCAGGACAGGACAACATGTCGATTGGATGAGCTTCGGTCTGGAAGCCTCACTGCACCCACTGACCAAAGTCAACTCCCCCCTCGAACTTGGAGCCCATCAGGGTTGGGGAGCCCAGCTCAGTGACACTGTTCCTGAGGGTGAAGAGGGGTGGCTGGCCCACCAGGGGGCGCCCACACCCCAGGTTTTAGCTAGTCTGCCTTCCGTCCCTGGCAGGCGGCAGGGAAGCTGGCCTCTTTCAGTTCAGCCTGGGCTGAGTTCAGGGAAGCTGGATGGGTCCTGGGCAGGCTTTCCCAGCATGCACCAGGCAGGGCTTGGGGACCCCACTCACCCGTCAAAGGAATACTTGTTGGTGTTGGGCATGTCCATGATGTCGATGAAGCCACGGTTCCCTGCAGGGAGTGGATGGGGCATGGAGGGGAGGGAGCTGCTCTGCTGGGGCTGGGGAGCCTGGTCCCGTCCAGGGCCATGTGAGTTCCCCAGGAGCCCCTCCTGACCTCTAGCCTCCCGCCATCGCAGCCTTCACTCACCTGCGGAGCCAGCCACGATGGCTTTGAGTTTCCTCTTGTGTCTGGAGAGAAGCAGAGAGAGGCGCTGGTAAGGGAGGCTGGGGCTGGGCTGGCATCTCAGGACACTGCCTGCCTCCATATCCATCCCTGGAGGAGGGCTGGCTGGGCAGCCAATCTCAGGGCAGGGCCAGGGGTCACTCACACGGTCCTGTAGTACCAGTTCATGAGGATGAAGAGCATGGCAGCCAGGAAGAGGAGGATGGCCAGGACGATGATCGCCATCTGAGGGAACGGGACAGGCGTGAGCGGGCGGGCGCACCCGGGGTGATAAGGGGGCGGTGGGGCAGGTGCCCCCAGGGGTACCTGCAGGGCAGACATGTCTTCGGGCAGCTGGACAGAGATGGCAGGCTGCACGTCCATGACATTGTAGTTCCGGAAAAGATTCCGCAGCTGTTCCTTGTTCTCGTCGATCATCTGGATCACCCTGGGCAAGCGGCAGGGGCCTCAGCTCCATCCTCAGCCATCCCCCAAGCGCCTGCTCACTCAGGCCAGGCTGCCCAGGTCTTGATTTGAACATCTAAAGTTCACTCCCACAAGCCTTACAAGATTAGAGCCCACCCAGTTAGGATCACTTTGTATCCTATAGAGTTCACATCCCCCACAATCAGTATAATACTCCCATTGTACAGACGGGGAGAGTAAGGCTCAGGAGGGCAGAGCTCTGCTAATACCCACAAACGGTTCTCTGCCCACATCCTGGGGAGAGTGCCACGCAGCAGGCATGATGGTGCTGGTGATGCCTCTGTTGGTGGGTCCCTCCCCAACTCCAGGGCAGGGAGGCAGACGACATTCCGAGCACAGATCCCCACTCACCGGTCCACGTCCAGGATGCGGTTGGTATCTCGGTTCACCACATGGATGAGCAGCTCTGTCTGTGCGAAGTTCACCCGACCCTTCTTATCCACGTGGAACTAGGCAAGAAGAGGCGTTATAGGGAGTGGCAGGTGCAAGGGATGGGCTGGGATGGGCAGGCCTCTTCTAGGCGCCCCTCCTGGCCTGCCTTCCCAGGGAACCCATCACAAGCATGATACCCATCACCTCACTGCGAGGCACTACCATCACCCCATTTCTCAGGTTAGGAAACAGGCCCGGAGACCTGGAAGGCCTTTCTCAGGGCCGTGCAGGTAGGAAACCATTGAGGGCACATACATCCCCTTTCACATCTCTGGCCTCTCCTCAATGCCCTGTCCCTCCCTGTGGCCTAGTCCTCTCCCTCCACTGCCCCCAGCCCCAGGGCGGGTCCCGTGGGCACCTGCACGTCGTCAGTGTTGACAATGGCACCGGTGATGTTGGAGAGCAGGCGGATGAACTCCTCCTCAAAGCCACGCACGCGGTCGGGGATCTCGTTAATGACGATCTTGACGCGCTGGTCATCCCTCAGGATGTAGATGCCGATGATGGCCGTGTCGTTGTGGCCGGCCAGGTCCTGGGCCACAATGTCCACCACAAAGTAGCCGGGGCTGTAGGCCATGAAGAGGTCGAAGGTGCGCAGGATGCCATCCACACTCCCTGCAGGAAGAGCCCACGGGTGGGGAGCAGCTCAGGGCCACCCAGTGACCCAGAATCCCTGGGGCAGGGGTGAGGTGCAGGGGCAGGAGACACACTTCTGGGGAGGCAGCATGGGCCTGCAGGACTCGGGACCCAGAGCTGCAGAGCCCAGCACCCACCCCAGTGTGGCTGCTACACCTACGCCTCTTCTACAGATTCCTAGTGAACTCTCCGGATTTCTAACTACTGAGCTGTTTTTAAACATTCTGCATATTAACCAAAACAGCTGTGGGTGTGCTGGCCCAAGAAGGATGCGTTTGGGCATCTGGTGTCCCCTGCTGGGGTCCTTCTGAGCCCCCTTAGTGTCTGTCTGTATCCCCACCTGCACTTCAGAGTTTGACAGTAGAGAGATGATCACAGGAGGCAAAGTCCAGTCTTCTTAGAAGACAGTGGGCATGGGTTTAAAATTTGCCACTTTCTAGCTGTGTGACCTTTCACTACTTAGCCCCTCTGTGTTTTTGTTTATTAAAATAAGAGCAATGGGAGGTCAGAGGACAAAGGGATGGTGTCTGGTTGTGTGATTGGAGAAGGTGGCATATGAACTAGATTTGCTTTTTTAAAATCCTCACCTGAGGATGTGCTATTGTTTTTTTAAAACTGAATTCAGAGAGAGAGAAACGTCAATTGAGTGCCTCCCGTATATGCAGGGATCGAACTTGTAACCTTTTGGTGCACAGGATGATGCTCCAACCAACGGAGCCACCCAGCCAGGGATGACCTAGATTTTGAAGGATGGTTGGGGGGAGCATATCGAAGGCAGAGTTGAAGGTCAGGATGGTAATCCAGGAAGTGAAGAAAAGGGACCAAAGGCCCAGGGAGGATGGCGTGCAGCAGGCTGAAGGAATGGTGAGCAGTTGAGCCTGACTGGGCACAGGGCCTTTAAGGATAGTAGGGGCGTGAGAACCAGAAAGGGGGATTAGGAAGAAGACCTGGTGAGAAGAATGCCAGGCCAAGAAGTCTGGATTGACTCCTACAGACAGAGAAGAGCAGGGAAGGGGTTGGGGCTGAAGTAAGGTAATGGGACACCCTGTGGGCTCAGCCACTCACACGGAAGTACACAAGCAGACTGCACACTTGTAGGTACCAGTACACTCTGAATGCTGGCTCCCCATGCCTAGCACAGGGCCTACCGCGGGAAGGCGAGGTGTCCAACTGGAACATCAGGAGGATATATGAAAAGGGGAATGGAGAGATGGGTGGATGGATGGAGGGATGGCTAGATGGATGGATGGAGGGATGGATACATGAGTAATGGGTGGAGGAGGAAATGGGAAGAGAAAGATAAAGAGGAAGTGGGTGGGTAGATGTAGATATGGATAGGTGGTTGAATAAAAGGATAGCTGACTGGCTGAATAGATGGATGGGCGAATGAATGAAAAGACTGACAGGGCTGGCTGACCACCCATATTCTGTGGTGCCCAAACAGACCACCCCATCTCTTCCAGAC